AGTTCTCCACTTCACCTTGCTTGGATGTGTCTTCAAGGTCCTCTTGGAGTCTTCTGGCCATACTTCTAGTTAGGGCCTTGATTGTAGTATGGACTTAAGCCCACGCTATCATTTCGTAATGTAGTGTCTAATGGTTTATACATGAGAGATATAAACTGTAAGATGTTTAGAGGTTGATTTTAAAGAGATGAAAACATTTTAAATATCAAAACAGTAAATTACATATTTTATATAGGTTCACTCGACCTGAGCTACACTCAATTCTCCCTTAAAAAATCTTAAAGTATTCCATTAATCTTTAGCAAGATTGCAAGAGTTTAATCTCTCCAAATTTACAATGAGTATTCTCACCACTCTCGGTTCCCATAGTCAACACGACTAGTCCAAGTTTAACTACTCCTAGCTTACATGTATTCTAACAAATTTTGGTCTCAAGTATTCTAACCACTTTTTGTCTTAACCCTAGACAACACGTCTAGACAAGTGTTTTAATTCTCTTCGGAATTTACAATACAAAATGTGTTATGAGAAAAATTATATATGATAACTCTCAAGAAGATGATATAGACAATACAAAGATTTTTGTGATTTGCTAAAGTTCTTTTTTGAAAAGAAATATACAACGTAACACAATGTATGAGCATAGGGAGCTTGTCTTAGCTTTCATGTCACTATTTTTCTTTTTTTTTTCTTGTTATCATTCTTGTCTTTTCTTCAAGCTTCTGTCTATATATAACTCCTCTTGAAAGATGACCTTTAGATAAAAAAGTTGACTTTAGGAGAGCAGGTAACTTTAGGTAGGAAGTCAGACTTTAGTCTACTTTGTAGAAGTTCAACACTTTAACATAGCCTTTACCTAAACTAAGCTTGTACGATATAACACAGTAGAAGACTTTAAGGGAAACATTCCTAGAATGTTCTTAATATCTCATAAGTCTTTTTTTGGGTGCATTGATTCTGATCACATCTTTTTACTTTAGTGATATGCACAAATATCAAGAGCAAAGTATACAAGTATCAAAGCACTTTATCATACAAGCATTAAATGTTTTGAACATTGATAAGTGTTAGATTGTATTACATGTTCAAGACATTTTATCATTTGTCATATCATTCATAAATGTATCGTTTGATAAAACATACATCATGTATAATTATTAGATGATATAAAACATTTAGATGCTTCTTCAAAGGCAATATAACATTTGGAGGTCATTCATCAAACGATGCACTCTTAAGACGCTTTATTTGATATATCACTACTATAAAAATTTCTTTTAGCCTTAGTATAATAAAAGAGATAGACTTTATTGTTCATAGATGCTAACTTGTTAACCGATTTAAAAGACAAACACTTCTTTTTCTTAGACGTTATTCATAACTTTAGTTCATTAGACAGTTTAGTCTAGAGAACGTTATTTAGACGATAGATAATATTTCTTTCTTTAGATGCTATTTCATTAAAACAACTTTTCATGTACAACATTATTTTGTTTAATGTTTTTTTGTTAAACTTCAAAACCTCTATTACTTAGATGGTCTATTCTCTAGACGATCTTATGTTAACAATCTTGAATGTAAAACTAAATATTTATACATGGTCTAGTAATGATCTTAATAAGAAATGATAAGAAAAGTTCAACAAACCCCACTAAAATAAGCTTAAAAATAAATTATAGCTTTTAACTTAACCTTAAAAAGCAATCTACATGATAAAATTTACTCTTATTTATATAGTATAATTTAACACTATAATTAATCAATGTACTACTAACCTTGACTTTATTTTAATTAGTAAGTATTATGATAAATCACAAATAATTCTCTATATATGTCCTCATTTTATTGGATCATATCTTTGTCCATCATTTTCCTTGTATTATTAGAGTAATAATCATAGTTAGAAACTTAAGGTGTGACCTCTTTTACTTTTACTTCTAGGTCTATTTTTGTCTTACTTTTTGGTAAAATTATGATTCATAATAGTAGTAGTGAAATAGTGAATTGAAATAGTTCCCATATCTTAAAGTGAACTTACACCATTGATGATGAAATAGGTTTTTCCCCAGCAAGTACAATAGAGAGATAAAGAGTTTGAAGATGGAGGTGGAGAAACTCTTGATGGAGATGATAAAGGGTAGGGAAGATTGTGTGGAGAAAGGGAGAAGCAATTCATATGGGAATGATTTATTGTGTATACTCTTGGATGAGATGAAGAAAGAAAGTGGTAGCTTGAATCTTCAACTAGTTATGGATGAATGCAAAACATTTTTCTTTGCTGGTCATGAAACCACTGCTCTCTTACTCACTTGGACAGTCATGTTGCTAGCAACAAATCCTCATTGGCAAGACAAAGTCAGAGCTGAAGTCAAACACATTTTCAAAGGGGAAACTCCATCACTTGATAAACTCTCCAAGCTCACTCTGGTTAGTTCCAACTATATCATTATTAATTATGTCTTTCATTTTTCATCACTTCATTTATCTTATACTTTATTTAAACACTCTGCTTCTCATATATTCATACTTTTATCAACTAATTAAAACTATTTTCGATGTCATTTTTAAAATACTGGTATTCTATTTATAGGAGTATATATAATGTACAAAAGTTTAAAACTTTGCAGTCTAAGTTGAAAAACATGATATTGGATGAATTTTTTCTGTAATTTATACTTTTTAAAATATTTTTGCATTCTTTTTTTTTTCAAACAATGATGAAATATGGTCATCCTAATAAAAAGGAGTATATATTGTAGATGAAATAACCATTGGCAGCAGGTAAGTTAGCCGCAACCCACTTTTTTTTTCCTTTAATCTTATGGCATTTCTTCCTGCACCTCCATAAATTTTTTATTTCAAATGTATAATTAAAATGAATTTTTTTTATTTGAAATTTTACATTTCATAATATAAACTATAAAATTTCATTTTGGATTGCATAAATTATACAATTCAAAATATAAATATATTCTAAACTATATCTTGGAATACAATTTTTTGGATTCTGGACTGTGTATTTTAAAATACAAAAAAAAAAA